AAAGTTGAATTTGACAAACACTGAACGTCAGTGGGTCGCAGTTGGCCGCATCATTTCAAGTTGAATTTAAAGCAATTTAAAGTCGAAGTTAAACTTCATTGAAACTTTTCGAAAAAAAAGTTTCCCATATGGTGCGCACTTTAATGGTGACACTGTATGTTGATTACCACAGAAAGAACTTTTTTCATCAGTTAATAATAAATCGTTTGATCTCATTATTTCCCAGCTTAAATTTGAAGCACAAACAAGTGCCGAAGTTAAACTTCATTGAAACTTTTCGAAAAAAAAGTTTCCTATATGGTGAGCACTTCAATGGTGACACTGTATATGGTCAATTTTTGAGAATAATCAAGTAAGTCAGTTTACAGATCTGGCGTACAAATAATATTGAAAGTACTTGTCTATTTGGTAATCATACAATAAGTCTATAACATTTTTGTCTAATTATCACTAGTTGATTTTATTTATACGACCGGTTTCGGGTTTGACCCCGTTATCAAGTATAAAACTGAGATGTGAAGTTTGAAAACTTGGTTTTATCAGGAGTAAGGAGAGGTATTTGATAGATAGCTAGTTGGGCGGGATGCCAACTTTAAAATTCACCACTGAAAATTCTAGGGGTTGTTAAACTTATAAATTCAAGAGAGGAGACCTACATAAATCGAGTTGCGGATTTAGGGGTATATATTTATGGTTTTTGATTGATTTGTTGATTTCCATGGATTCTAACAAATTAATTTTCTTCCTTTTATCACATACTAGTACTATGTTGCTGTATCGGGAAAAATTAATGTAATAGCAACTCCTGCGAAAACGACAAAAATGGTAGTGTTATTTTCGGAGTTGTTAAATTTGAGGATTGGTTTCAATCGGTCCACTATATTGTTGATTTTGAAGAGTTCTTCAAAATTTAGTTTCGAGAAATTTTGTGTTTCATATATTGTTGACTTCTCGATATTTTTCATTTAAATTTTTGGTAAGGTCAGTGGCTTGCCTGTTCCTATTTTCACGTTGTTGGTGAAAATCTTGTTTCTCACTTCAATTTGGCAATTTTTCGGGATCTTGACTAGGGTGGGCGCTTTTATTTCCAAATGTCGATCGGTTTTGCATTTGGAAAATATTGTTTCGCTCTGTATCGGAATTACCAGGATTTCTTCTTGAGTGATTTGTTCGATAAATCGACTCTACCACATTGATTGGAAGAGGCTGACAATTATCGGCGACTTTGCCTTCGATTATGTGGGATGTGCATTGGTTTTCGGAAAAGTAATCTTCTGGACAATAATACGTTTTCTCTAGTACTGGGCATGAACTATCTTCGAACTGGATATTGTGGTTTGCTCGTGCCAAATATGGGTAGTTTGGGATAAAAATACTGTGATTTTGGATGATAGGATAAAGGTGGAGAAATGTAAGAACTTCGTTTCCGACAATAGGAACGTGTATTGCGAAAATTATTCTGTCATTCGAAAAAGTTACTTGTGCACCGAAAAATTGATAATATGTCAACATACTTTCAAATTTCGGGATTTTTGAATCAGAATAGATGTTGCTTAAATAATTTATTATTTCTTTCAGTTCAGAACTAGGTATTNCAAATGTGATAGCATCTTCTAAATTATCGATAAAAGTAATGATATTTTGGCAGTCAAGGGTTATTTGCTGCTCCAATGTTTTGACAGAATCAGAATCCAAGAACTTAGGCGTGCGCGGCGTTATAGAACAGTGCTTTCAAAAATTGTTCTACAGCGCTATCTACTGGCGAGTTACATAAAAATTGATAGCCTAAAAACCTTATCTATGAAAAGTAACTCATGCGTGTCAAGTTTCATCACGATCACTTACCAACCAACCAACCACCAACCAACCAACCAACAAACATCCATTTTTATATAATAGATGTGTATGATTTTAAGGTTATTTTTTTTATCTTGTATTTTGACAAAAGTGTGTTTCTGTAGTGTATCATCAGATTTCCTAGATCATTTTCAATGTTCAATTTGAGAATGTTTCCATATCGTGGAAATGTTTTCTCAGTTGACAGTGGCCATTCAGAAATCCTACTGCTAGGCGTAGATTTTTCCTGGTCATCGCCAGATATTTCTTCGGCGCCAGCTTCCCAGGGTCGCCAAGGGTGATCCTGGCAAGATTACATCCTATGATTTCATCCCATCTCTTTAGAGATTGAGCATGAGTGTGACGTTTGGCTAGACCCGCAATTGTCGAAGTCATCAGGCCGTAACCCAGTTATTTAGGCTTGTAGTTCATGAATTCCTCAAATATTCTAAAAACGGGAAAGTTGTCGCAAAAAACTGGACTTTTCACAACATCTTCTTTCTATTCTCACGAAAGAGTTGTAGCATTCGAAAATGCTACTATTTTAACATTTTAAAGATTACTTGAGGTTCAACAAAAAATTTCATGAGAAAAGTTATAGGTATCTGATGATTAAAACGCCTCTTGGTAGTTTTTTGTGTACTACCTGCTCCCTTTTTTTGTAAGTATTTCAGTTGCCAGTTTTCTATTGTAAATACTTATTTCCGTTTTCTCTTATTTTAAGATTTCATGAGTAAAGTTGAAGTTGTGGAATCTCTACTTCCGAATTGTAAGGAATAAAAGGTCTCTCGTTAAATTTTTTGAAGTTTTAAACCTCCTCCAGTGGGGCAAGTAGCAAGGATTTTGTTTCCTATTAATCATTCCCCGTAGATTGTAGGGACGGTACAACACTAGTACAGGATCTCCGTGGATTGGAAATATTGATACTCAGTCATTTGCAATTTATTCCTGCTGAGGATCCCTTGAGCTGTTGTTGTTCATAAGGAAGGCGGAAATTAAACTCAACCCAGATTTCATGTTCATCAGAGTCGCTTGTCCAGGAGTAACAGGCCAAATATATTATTTTAAAATAAATCCAATTTTCCTAATTTTATCATTTACCTCAAATTCAAGAAATTATCAAATTATATGATTTGTGAGATAACACACAGTACTGGGTGATCGCAAGGTGAAGATCTGTGCAAAAATTAAAAAATGGTATTGATCCCTTGGGATAAAATATTACTGGTATCTGTATTTCTAAACAAGAACTTTAATTATAGCCGATTAATTGGACTCAGAATAGTAATTGTTTGCTCCCTTTTATAATTTCAGGTTGTCAAGTGAATGCAATATTTTTTTCAATTCATAATGTAGTTCGTCACTCTGGCAGGGCGAACTTTGAACTCTGATTATTGCATTTAGCCAGGTGGCGCCCATTACATAATTTTGTACTGTTCTCACTCAGATGTACACTCTAATGCCTTCGACCTTAATTCTTGCTCACCAAGACGAACAGCTGCCGGAGCTGCACTTTATTTCCAACTGAAAGGAATAAACGTTGCACCCTCTCACCCACAAGTTCATTACTTGAGGAGTCTTTCACTACTAGAGGGTTGAAAGTGGTCGTCTTATTCCTCGTTTTAAAGGCATTTCAGTTATCTATCCAACACTTTTCTATCTTTTAAAATCGAATTAGTCATTTATAAGTAATTAGCAGTTGTTTATTCGTTTTGAAGATTTGCAAACGAACGATAATTCTGGTTTAAGATGTAATATTTGTAAATTTTGGTCTCATAATTCCTGTTCAATTAGAATTACTGGCTTGATTGAAAGCAAAGGAATAGTACAATGTTCGTGTACCTACTCAAAAGGAGGTTGAATAAACACAAACAAGTGATATCACGATTGAAAATTCCGCAAATATAGGATTGGACAAGGCAAATTCTCATATTTACTTTCATAAAGTAATAAAAGCATAGATATCATTATATCGGAGCTTCAAGAACATAAAATCTTGCAAAATGAATCAATAAATTCATCGGAAGATAAGATCAACTGGCTACAACGAATCAATATAGAAAATTGTACGATTACCTCCAGCGTTGTTGAGGAGGTGTACTTTTTTTACTTGGAAAAGGTGTGGGAATTAGGTTTTTTCATGAAAAGTGCCAAAAGTTTACTGTCAAAAAAGTAAGGGCAATTTGAATTAAATAATGACAGCGTACGCAGCGCCCTCTAGATGTTACATGAAAATTAATACGAAATTATGATTTCCCACATCAAAAATACCCCGGGTACCGGATTTCGTGTAAATAACTCATTTTTTGCAACAGGTATTTTCAAAAAGCGAACCAAAAATTTCAATTTCAACACCCCGTATCTCCGAAAAGAAGCATTTTCGGACACAAGTTCATATAGACATTTTTTCTTAAAATTGTCTCAGGAATACGTACTTATGTTACACCTTGTATATATAATTAGGGAAAAGGGGGGCACATTCAACCAGTTTTTAAAAATTGACATTTAGTAAAGTAAGTACTTGTATGTTGTCTTTGTTGTCCTAGTCTAATGAAGTATTGACCATTTGGTTGCCATTGCTAAGAATAGTATGTTTCTAANAGTGCTTCCTTCCTTCCTTCGGAAGATTCCCACATTTTTTGTATCAAGCTGGAGGTAAAAAGCCAAAAACTTTCTTTCCCATGATATTATGTCTTTTCCTTAACAGTAATCCAAAAGCTCTTGGGGCAACGGATACTTCGCCACAAGACGAAGGTGTGTCAGTTTTTCAAGTTGGCAGTATTACGATATTTTCTACCCATCAAGATCACTTAATCGATCAAACGTCGTCATGACAGTGTTCATATGCTTGCATAAAAGTAATCGAGTTCAACGAAAATAAAATTGATTATAAATATTTGTGAAGAAATGTTTAAAAATGTTAAAGTAAACTATCCGAAGCGGAAAACTGCTCTACAGGAATCTAAAGTAGAAGGTATTCAGGAGCCTGTCAGGGAAACAATGTATGACATACTGTTAGAGAACTTTCATATAGCAGACAGAGTAAGTTGGAGTTTTTTCATTCAATTTTTATATCTAGTAATACGCATGTCTGTACATTTGCGTAAGGATCATTACGATATTTGCCTGAAACTCAAAGATTGAAAAAGCCATTGACATATCAAAAAGTCAACGAATTCGGTACTTTTATTCTCAGTGCCGGTTTTAGCAGTTCCGGCGCCCTGGGTGAGATTTGTACGGCGCCCCCTAACAGCAAGTCGAACCTATACGGGAAAAAAAACAAAGGATATACGTAACAACAAAAAACTAAGAAATTTAACTTTTTTTGTCATCGAATAATTTCGAATAATTTTTTTATTGAGTAGGGGAAGGGTGGGCATAGTGGCAACTGCGGGCAAAGTTGCCACTTGAAGTTTTCTTCACTGTATAGTGCTGCAGCCTCGCGGCAATGGTCACAACTACTCGCCCGGCAGCCGTTGTTATTGTGTTGTAGTTTGGTGCCGCTCAGACGCAAGCTCAACCAGATATCGCAAATTTTCCATTTTTTCGACCCTATGAGGAAAGGTAAGTGCTCACATGTTTCGCTTTATTTTATTGTAGGCCTAGGTGAAGTAAATTGTACATCAATCGTGCAAAACAACATGTTTCTAGCTTTGAATTCATATGTCTCAACAGTAGATACTACAACGGGTTGTACGTGAAATATTGTATTTAGAAANTATGAAAGTAGCTGTTTCAGGAGGACTTTCTTTCAGTTTGTGTCTGAAAGTTACTTCTTTGCATGATCTACACATCCATATATAGAGTTACTTATTTTCAAATTGATTACTTCCTTCCATTCTTTGGAAGATTCTCTCATCCTTTTTTTTGTATCAGATGGAGTAGTAGAAAGCCAAAAATTTTCTTTCCCAAAGAACAGTATGGTGTCCAAGTATTAAAGGAAAACCGCTCAGCAGTCCTGGAACTCTGAAGCTATGCAAAAGGCCATTGATGCAGTAAAGAAGGACGGGTTGCCTTGGCAAACCGCAGCTAAAAGGTTCCAGGTACCTCGCAATACTTTTAAACGACGTGCACTCGACAAAATTGTTCAAGCTGTAAACACAAAAAAGTTTGTATATCAAACATTTGTTGAGGAATAAGAATCAGATATCATTCACATGAGTTCTACTTTGAATGAATGGTAATAAATTGTACTCACATGGAACACTGTCACCCTCACCGGTGAGGGTGACAGATGGAGTATCAGATGGAGTAGTAGAAAGCCAAAAACTTCCTTTCCCAAAAATTAATCACTCCTAAAAATATAACCCTTTCAATTCTAATATTGGGATATGAATGGATGGTTTGACTTACAACTCTGTTGAAGTTGTTTCATATGATGGTTATGTTAAATATTGGGCACATAGTGTTGGATGAACAATTAGTACAATACATGTACATAAAATTGGTAAAGGACTTCTAAGTTTTAAATAAATACGTTACCGTTTATAATTATTTAAAGAGGGCCTTATCCACACGTGGAAATTCACAGGTTGTCTCTATGGGTTGAGAGTGATAGACAGTTGACAAGACATATACCTGTGGCAATAATGACAATGGTTGTTATCAACTTCAATATGTGTGTTCGTAATCGTATGAGAGGTGTGTAATGTATGAGAACTGACAGCTTACATGCAGACATGTAACTGGGAGTCTTCATCACCATTAGAATTCAATGAGCTTTAAAGACTGTTATCCTATTAAAGAAATTGTGATGAATTGTGTGAGTCCTTCCACCTGTGGGTAGAATTCATACAACAAGGTTGGGATCAATTTATAGTTATTGAATTGAATTTAATGAGTACATTATTTTTTTGAACCAAGATATAATAGATTCATTGAAAAAGTGTTGTAGGTATTCTTGTCCAGCGTAGCATCCCTGATGATGGAATGAATTTATTGAATTTCCAAAAGCTTCCACTATTTACTAGTTCCATTACTATCAAGTCATCAACGACTACCCTATTGTGAAAACGTCAAATTTCAGTTCTTACATGAATCACTTTTTTCTATCTGTTTTAATCTTGTCGCCTACTTGTACGGCGCAGCACAGCACGGCGCTATCCGTCGCCTGATGACGACAGGTAGTAGCATCGCCCACTTGTCCAGCTACAACTAGCATACTGAATGTGCTGTTTGTTCGATTTCAAGGGGAATTCAATCGACAATGAGCGGTGACAGACACATGTCTATCACTAGCAGTAGAAGAAAATTGTTACAAAAAAATGAGGATTTGGGTTCATCCCATTATTCTTAATTATTAAAGAGGGCAAATCTGGGAGAATTTCATCATCTTTTCAACGACCTGAAAGAAGACGAGGAGACATTTTTCCAGTATTTCAGAAAGACTCCAGGTACATTTTCAGAAACTCCGATATCCTAGAGCCTGCCTTAATAAGCAACTCAATTTTTCCTCGTCCATTTTCATAGATACCATCTGACACTGTGCTGTCAATTGATGGAATAGCAAAACAGAGAAACAGAAACTCACCAGGCACGTTTGGACAAGTTGATGCTGGCAAGCGCTGGCCGGCGACGCGCTCACTTGGCCAGTCCGTCACAGGACGTACCGTTATTTGCCGGACAGGATCAGGGAGCTGGTATTCTTTCCGGCTACAGACGCTCTTGGTTGAGCCGTACTGGATGTTTATCAATACTTCGGGACTGTTTGTGTTAAGCTTGTCGCTCCGGCACAGCACAGCACGGCGCTGTCTGTCGCCTGATGGCGACGGGTAGTCGCATCGCCCACTTGTCCAACTACAACTAGCATACTGAAGGTGCTGTTTGTTCGATTTCAAGGGAAATTCAGTCGACAACGAGCGGTGACAGACACATGTCTATCACTAGCAGTTCTGACGGAGAAGTCGTCATTATAGTGGCCGCATTATTGAATGTAAAAGAAAATTNATTACTAAAATTGATTCATGTCTCCAGAAACAGGTACTAAACAAAATTTGAAAAATGTAAATGTTTATGTAAATAATCGATGCAATAGAAAAAGAAGTGAATATTCACACCTCCATTCGTATAAGAAAGCTGTGAAAAATGAATTATTAAAAAGAGCATTTTTTTACTGGATATAAGTGATATCAAAACTTGAATCATATCTCATTATTCATTATTCAAATTTATGAAAGCAATTTCAGTTTGAATTTTTGATGGAAAGCCTTCCATTATATTTATTTATTTATGTCACAATTTCATAAAAAAACTGTGTATGGTACGCTGAAAATTTTCAAAATTTCACTTCGCAGTCTCTTGATCTATTTTAATTTAATTTTATTCTAGACTCCTATTAATTACGAAGATAGTCCATCCAGAATCCGCATGAGTCAGATGTCATTCCGCCCTAGTTCTGCAGTGGGTGCTGCTGATCCGTATAGAGCTTTCTTGCCAGAAGTTGAAGTTGTGAATTTCATAATAATCTCCACTTTTACCCAAACATTATCTGACTACTATGCAATTTACGGAATTGTGCCACAAAGGGATATATACAAAGGTGATTTTTTATCAGTTTTATCTGAAATTCCCATTCTGAACAGTACAGATGTACCATACCAACGATGTACGTGTTTCCTAATTCGAAAGCAAAGATGCAAAAAGCATCTCTTTGAAAAATATTATTGGACAATTAGGATTGAAATAATTAATGATGTTTCAAGTCGAGCAAGGAATTCTTCATAAAAATGGTTCCCTACATTTTTCATTCATCTCTTTGCTCCAAAAATTACTCTGTCAATTCGTGATGTTTCAATAATATGTAACGCTCAGAATGGAATTGAAGTCAACCACTTTTTTCTTGACAATGTTTTTTGTAAATGGCCTACAATTCTATAAGGTGACTTTTTCGAAAATAAAAACTTTTTCACCTCCCAACCTTTAGAACTGTTTCGTGTATTATCAGTTAAAAAATATAATATTCAAGTTGTTCCTCAAGCACCTGAGTTGGAAATGGTTGATATTTTTCATTTATTGAACCTGTATGCAGAAAAGTAGTTTTATTAGATGCATTTCGTGCTAGTATACAGGCTGATTCACGGTGGATTACAGGCTCAAAATATCAATGGCTTGATTTATTTATTAGTTCCATAAGTAATACTCTTGTCAACTGAAATATATTTTCAAATACATCAAATAAATTGACATTATTGATAAGAATAAAACTGTAAATACTTTTTTTTAATGTTTTTAGATAGTAAACAATTGCTGATACCTAACTTCTCGATCAGCTCACTTTTTTTCTTTTTTGCGGACGCCCATGACGTTTCAACCACCTTTTTAATTGTTCACAATTATGAGCCTCAACTGAATTATAAACAAGTGAAGCACCATCAATGGTTTTTTCCAATAATTTAAAACAGTACGAATGTTTTGAATTACCGCCATTTCAATATGACAGCTACGCTTGCGCTCGTCTTATGATGAAAATACCTATTATGCAAGAACACTTTGAATTCAATTCATTATTTTCACTTCATAAGTTGATCGATTCATTCGGACTATTTTCAGAAGACCTTCATCCATAGGATCATATATGTAGGAGAACACCATTTTTCAGGCGAAGACGATACTATAATACAGTGTTTTCAAAAATCAGTAAATCAGGTGAACGAGTCTTTCTGCCTGGAGCCTATAACTGGATTTTTATTGTGCTACAGAAGGCATTTTGTCCACATGATTGAGGTGAGGTAAACTCGTCAATTTGTTTTTTTTTTTTCGATTATTTTTATGGCATCGAAGGAATAGTTTCATTGATTTATTTCTCTGAATGTGATAACAGTGCCACATCATAGTTTTGACTTGCTGGTACATCGTCGAGTCGGAATAATTTTAGTGTTTTCTTCGAACCAAAACTATTGATGTTGGCCAATTCTGTTCACGTTTCAGTGAATGTACTCTTTGTGAAGTTTTTCACTTGTTCTAATTCATCTTCTGATATTGTATATGAAAGTCGAGTATAATATTTCATTGATAATGTGACAGTGGTTTCTTTATAATATGTAATAAACATTTACGATAAATGTTAGGTTGGTTCATGACTTTGTTTCAAAGTCATGTGTTTTTGAAGCTCTATATTTCAATTCCACACAGTAGAAGGAGACACCTCACAAACATTCGCGACGGAATAAGTAAACTGTTCAGGATTTACCGCCATCTCACCAATTATTTGCATTTGCTGTTCTTCCGGAATGGACGGATGACCTGGGGCTTTTTGTTATGTACACTACCGGAAGTTGTGAATTTGTATGCAAATTTTCTCAAATATTTTCTACAGGTAGGACGATTCGGAAAACGTTCATTGAAAATCCTTTCGGTCTCGTGAAAGTTACGCATCGCACCGTAAAAAAAATCGCTTCCATTTTTTTTTCAATGGACGAGAATTGACCATTTCAGAGATTGTTGACGTGGTACCTTTCTACTAGTAAAACCGAAAACCAAATGAGAATATTCTAACTGAACAATGATGTTCATTGTCATACTGACATTTTTTGTCGTTTTTATAATCAAAAAATAACTTAACAAACCTTATCGGATTGTTGGAATTGCCATATGGCAGATAAAAAGGAATATTTCTAGAAATATAGATATTAATGTGTTCGTCTTCAGGAAATTATAAATAGTAGGTGAAGATATTGACTTCATAATCTAGGGTTGTGAAGTATTCGTCAGGAGCTTCAAAATGATGTGTTACAAGACCCCCTTTTCCATTCAATTTTTTTTCACAGATGACGTCCAGTCGCCATCTTGAAAGATTCATCTGTCAATTTCACTTTGAAATAAAGTACTCATGCATTAATTTCATTATTCCAAATTTCAATTTTTTGAGTTAATCTGTTCAAAAAATGAAAGGGGGCGGGGGACATTAAATAAATGCACTGTATATCGGATGCCAATTTTTTTTCATCAGGGTTGAATTTATACACAACTCCTTCTGTAACCAGAATGCGTTTTGAACCACATCGGTCTCTAAAAGTATACTCATTTATTGCTGTCTATCTTTTATTGGAGTGCTTCATCTTCTTTCCAGAGTTGGTAATATGTTTCTTCTGTGTTTCGTCTTCTTTCCAGAGTTGGTAATATGTTCCTCCTCTCTGATGTTGGCGATTCAAATCTCCTCTTGAAGATTTACGACCAATGCCTTTTCTCTGCTTCATACTCCTACACGGATTTCAGAGGTTGGAGCGCTCTGATATTCTTGGCTCTAGTTATATTGTGCTTTTTGGTTGGGTGAAACTTTTGACTTCTTATTTCTTAACCATACAAAAGTGAGAAATTTCAAAAAAAGAAAGGAAACAATTGAATCCATCATTGAAAACTCATTACAAAACAAAACTGTTCGATTCCATTAAGAATGTGTGGAGTACAAACAGAATAGAAAATACTTCTGTAAATGATGATTTTTCATTGATCTATCGAAATAATGTCAGGGCCTCCTTTATTATAATAGAACAGATACTATTTTTATGTAGATGATTTTTTTTACAAATAATGAAAGATTGAAAACCCTTAAAGGATGTGAAGCATCGACCCTTCTAGGAAAATATCGATTATCATGTTTTTTGATTTTTCAGGGAGACGAGGATTCAATAAATTCCCACCTGCATATTCTTTTGAATGACAAAGAACTCAAACAAAATTTGGGAGTCATGAAGTTATTGATACACGTGTCCCACATCAATCGGGTAAGAAATTCAATAATTATCTTTAGTAGAACAATATCTCCGAACAATAATATTAACTGAGCCTGGATAATTCGGCGGATAATTTCGTAATATGGAATAAGTTCTAGTTACTTCTGATACTTTCGTATACTATTCACGAACAATTTTGATCTTTTACTCTTGTCTATGTCGCTTAGTGGCTTCGAAACCTTTGTTCCATACGATGGTTGTTTGAAACCTTGATCCATTGTCGTTAGGCAAAATTTTCAAGAAACAATAGCTGACTAGCAACTTTTGTTGATCCCCGATTTATCGCTGAAAGATCGCTACATTTTCATAACCTCCCTAACCTCAGAACCACATGTTGATTATTAAAATTGAAGCAAATGGTCAGAGTAGATGAACAACACCGGTTCTGTGACACCGGAAATTGAACTAACAGAAGCAATGAAACGGTCGAAAACGCACGAAAAACGGTCGATACTTGATTATCTGCGTGATGAAAGCGCTACACGGAAAGCGTTACGTGAAAAAACGTTACGCGAAAGCGTTATACGAAAAGCGTTACGTGAAAAAAAGTTACGCGAAAGCATTATACGAAAGTACTTCATTGCTTCTGTTAGTTGAATTTCCGGTGTCACAGAACCGGTGTTGTTCATCTACTGGTCAACCAAGGGAAAGTTTGGAAATCATCTTAAATATCTTACCATTTAGCAGATCTGTATTAGCGTTGAAACTTTTCATTATTTACTAGTAATTCTCCTGAAACTGAATTGAGTCGGTGGTGGAAGGATCCCAATAGATATTTTACGGTGTGAAATTTAAAAAAATTGCAAATTCTGTATCTCACTTACTATTGAAAATAGCGTTTGATTCAATGAGAACCAACCTCTCAACCATCTAAATGATCACAAAGAATTGATTGGACAGAGAAATTGAGATATCGTCACAAAGAAATGGATATATCAATTTCATTTAATGAATAGATATTAGTATTCATCAATACTTCTATATTAAGCAATTTCTTGAAACTTTTCGAAATAATTCTATACGGTTTTATGTATAACTTGATCAGAAATATAATATCAGACGATCAACATGGGTTCGTGGAACAAAAGTCACGTGTGACCAATCGTGCATACCTTTCACAACATGTTTCAGATGCTTTAGACCAAAAGCAACAAGTTGACGTACTTTATACGGACATGCAAAAGGCGCTTGACCAAATTGATTTTTACATCCTCAGTCAGCGACTATCATCGTTTGGCTTTTCTGGAGGTTTAATTGATCTTTTCACAAGCTATCTCTTTGACAGAAAGCAATACGTAGAACATGAAGGTTTTCGGTCCTCTTTGTACACAACTAGCTCAGGGGTACCACAAGGCTCGAACTTGGGGCCTCTTTTATTTCCGCTTTTCATTGATGACCTGTCGAAAATGATGAACTGCCCAAAACTTCTTTACGCTGATGATCTAGAGCTATACAAAGTAGTTGACAATTATGAAGACTGCTCACTTTTACAAAATGAAATCGATTTAGTATTCGACTGGTATTCCAAGAATCATTTACATTTGAACATATAGAAATGTAACATTTTATTTTTTTTTAGTAAGCTTAAAACAATAAAGAACAAAAAATACTATCATTATTGTGAAAAAAGCGACAGACGCTTAATATACAAAAAATATGGCACAAAGCGCCCACGCTTTTTCACAATAATAATAGTATTTTTCGATCGTTATTGTGTTAAGCCTATTTAGAAAACTTATTTTCAACTTTTCAGTTCGATGTTCTTCAAAAGCGTGTTTTTTAGTTTTTAAAACTATATTTATTAATCATTTTTTAGTTTCGTATGCTACGAAAGCGTGTTTTTTAGTTTTTTAAACTATATTTATTTTATCTAAACTTTGGGATCAATTAGCCGTATATTTGACCATCGACATTTTCCGATCCCGGAGAGGGAGCCTGCAAATTAGCTACCAAGCCCAAGGCAGCAGGCGCGCAAAAGGGGGTTATAAATAAGGCAACAGCGCGCGTGTTGATAAAAAAAATACTTTTTTCAAATGACGTGAGTTCTAATGATATCAAGGAGTTTACGTACAGCGCCTTCTGCCCGCGAATAAATCAAGCAATAATGTCGATAATTCTGTCAAATGCAGATCCTGAGCTTGAGAGTTACAAATAAACTGACAAACATACATACATACATACGGGTAAAGCTAATGAAAGCATGATAAAAACCCCATCTTCTCTTGAAGTGATATATAGAAAATAACTATGAATCTGTGGAGCAAATAATTCAAAGAAAAAAATTGATTGAGTGATAATGAGCTCTGTGATAATAGGCCTTTTCATCACATGTTTTTTGTGCGCATGCGTCAGTATCAGTCATCTTTTTCGTACTGTTTTTTGTAAAACAACCATGTTAAAGAGCCCGCAACTCATGTTTCGAAAATTGAAATATAAATTGAAGTTTATTAATCGTAAAAAAAGTGTAAAAATAATATAGTAGTAAGTCAAAATAATCAGAAAAAAAATGTTATACTCCATCATAATTATGTTATCTGTACGAAAAGGAACAACAAAACGGTGTTGTTATGGAGTATGTGAAAGTGATACAGGAAACAAATCATTCAAAACCAACCATACTATTTTATAAATTTTCCAAAGCCTTGTCTTGAATATCGCAAATTAATTACCAAATCATCAATCAAATTACATATTAAAGCATGTGCAAAATGTGCGAAATGTGAATTATGGGTGAAAAAATGTGGCAGGAGTGACCGAGGCTTTAAATCTATTGATGATGTTACCAAGG